ATATAAATAAATTTATATTGAAAAGAGAAAAGGGTGAAAAATATAGCATGTAAGCCAATGTGCCTGGGCTCAGCCCAATTGCATACACTCTCCAAAGGCTGTCTAATTAAAAACTTTAAAATACATTTACTTTTAGTTATTATAACTAAATATAAATTAGTAATATAAATATACATACTTAATTTAGGAAAAGGAAATTACACATTGGGCCCTTGGCTTTTGGGGGCTCATTGTGGTTGCCTATTTTTGCCTAATGGGTAAGTCCGCCTTTGGTCAGTGTATAAAAGGTCCCTCCATTCGTATACATAAGGAGAAATCATTTTATGAAGAGGAAACCATTTGTGAAGAAAATGTTTAAATGTGTTGCTCCAACAACAACAACAACAACAACAACAACAACAACAACAAAATCTTCCAAATAAACTCAAAGCAGAGTAGGGGGTTGCATTGGGATTGGGACCCTGCAACGCAAATCTTGTGGGAATGGGCAGTTTTACTGTATATAGTGCGGGTCCCACCTTCCAGAAATTTGGCGTATTACAAGAATAATGGATTTACATAAGCACTGTAGGTTTTCTACAGTAGTGGGTGTACACCAGTGTTTGGTCATATGCTTTTTATAGAAATAAAAATAATTTAGTTCAATTGGGAAACATACACTACAATTATAAACTGAAAGCCTCCGCTCTGCTCCATGCAGGAGCTGCATGAATCAGATTTGACTGATCACAGGTCGAGAGTAAGCTGCAGAGAAGAGATGACTTGTTGATGATTTGCTGCTCAACAGATCCTGAGCTCATTGACAAATATCTGATTTTGTAAGATGTGCTCCCTTTACACAGAGTGCACGTGATTGCGAAATTGAAAGTCAAAATTTAACAGCAAGCTCTCATTCAGAAGCGATTTCTAAAGCAGAATACACATGTTGTAGAAGCAGGATTAAGAAAACTGTCCCGCGTAGGACTCTAGAGCAGAGTTCTGTTCCTGAATGAACCTGATCAGCCAATGAATCATTGGGAATCAGTTGAGAGCATGATTCAACGACTCACTCATAAGACCAGCTAACAGGGAATGTTCTCAGAATGTTGTACATTGAGTCACAAATTCATGTTAGTGTGATAATTTATTATATTTATCCTGTAGATTTTCAATGACCCCATTCATGGACACATGGAGCTGCACCCGCTGCTGGTGAAGATCATTGATACTCCTCAGTTTCAGAGACTCAGACACATCAAACAACTGGGAGGAACATATCTGGTGTATCCGGGTGCTTCTCACAATCGCTTTGAACACTCTCTTGGGTGAGACTGAATTATTTACAGAGCTGAAATTAAGTTAATAATTTAAGATGTCAATATTCAAAATAAAATAATAAATAATTATAACATAATGTGTGCTCATCAATGTGTTGAATAACAGTCACATGACATGCAAGTAAAAAAAAAACGAACAATGATAATATTTTTGCTAGATTCAGTGTTTTGGATTTTGATAAGCTAAAGTCTTGTGTGTGTGTGTGTGTGTGTGTGTGTGTGTGTGTGTGTGTGTGTGTGTGTGTGTGTGTGTGTGTGTGATTTAAAAAAAGAACAATAATAATCTTTTTGCTAGATTCAGTGTTTTGGATTTTGATAAGCTAAAGTCTCGTGTGTGTGTGTGTGTGTCAGCGTGGCGTATTTAGCAGGACGTCTGGTGAAGGTTCTTCACAACAATCAGCCAGAGCTCAAAATTACCAAACAGGATTTCCTGTGTGTTCAGATCGCTGGTCTGTGTCACGACTTGGGTGAGTAGTGCTAATATTTATTTATGAACAATTTATAATGGAATAGTCATCTCTTGCTATTTTTTTCTCCGAAAGTACTGTTCAAAAATTAAATTAAATTAAATTAAATTAAATTAAATTAAATTAAATTAAATTAAATTAAATTAAATTAAATTAAATTAAATTAAATTAAATTAAATTAAATTAAATTAAATTAAATTAAATTAAATTAAATTAAATTAAATTAAATTTTATTTATTTAATTTTATTTAATTTTATTTAATTTTATTTAATTTTATTTTATTTAAAAGAGTCATATAGCTTAAAATTATAAGTAGGACTACTAACAAATGCTAAGAATATATTTAATTTAATACTGTTTTTAATATATTTGTAATGGTGTCCATTTCACCCAAACCTTCGTAAAATTCAGCACAGATTTATGTTGACCTTACCTACACAGTACAGTAACAGTTACAGTAACAGTTTTTACTAATAAAATAATAGTTTTGTGTGCTTAAAAACATATTTATCTTAACACCTATTTGAAATTTCAAACAACTTAACTTGAAAGGGTCACTGTCTACCAATTATTTTTCAGTTATTGTTTTAGGTATTGGCTCCTTGATATATTTGTTTAATGCAGATCCACAAAAGGGACACAAAGTTTAGTGGCCCAAAACCAGAATCCTGTTTTACTTATAAATTTGAAAAGAAAAAAAAAAAGAAGAAGATACTGTTGGTTTCAAACTGTAATTATCACTATTAGAGATCATGTGCATGCACTCTAAAAAATATTGTTTGGACGTAACAAAAACAAACAAAAAATTACGCAACAGTTTGCATAATTTTTTTGAGTTAAGGCAACTTCTTCTGAAATTAAGTTTACCTAACAAACTATATTGCGCTATATATACTTAGAAAATTGTGTTTAAAACAACAAGTATTAAGTTGAATACTCATAAAAATTAAGTTGTTCTAAGTAGTTTTTTTCACATTGTTTTAAATTTGATTCAATCATGGTCACTGAACTACTAAATAATGAATTTTTTAATGAAACACTACTTAATGCTGCCAAGAAACCAATCTTTTAGCATTTTCAACCAAATGCCTTCTTATTGAAACAGCATGTAAGACAATGCCCATTGAGTCTGTTCTCAACCTAAGCAAACGCTCTACGCTTCAGCACAATTGTAATCTCATAAAAACCACCAACATAACAGAAACACTTTTAAATACTAAAAGAACCAAACACTGAACATTAATAACTCTTCTACTTGTCTGATCTTGAATGGAAATGCATAAAATATGAGTTTATTTCTACATTACCGCATTAATGTACATTTGTACATTATTCAGTCACACGCAAAGCATGCTGGGAACCTGAAACGTGAACTTGAAAAAATGAAGTTATGAAGCTAATTACATTGAGTTAGTACAACTTAAATAATGTTTTAAACAAACTAACACAGATATTTAAGTTGAAGTTACACACAGTAATACGTTGATGTAATTGTCAACATTAAGATGTCAGGACAACTAATTAAAATTTTTTTAAAACTTAAAATGTTTAATTAAATCAATAAATTAGAATTTTTAACTTGCACTAATGCATTAAATTAAGTAGTGTCAACAGATCCACTGAATTATTTTTTAGAGTGTGTGCAAAATAGACAGACATTTTCTATTCAGGTTTAAAGAGACATAAGACAGATCAAACTGCTGTAAAATATTTTCTATTTATTTTTAGGTCATGGTCCGTTTTCTCATGTATTTGATGGTCTGGTTATTCCTCAAGCCAAAAGAATAAAACAATTAAGAGGTAAGTGCCAGTGTGAGATGAAATCTAATAAGAAGGATCTGCGGACATGCATGTTTCCTCTCATATTGTTACATTTGGACACACAGAACTCAAGCTATTGTATATGTATGTCTTGTAAATGTGCCTGACAAAGTTTGGTAATGTATAAAATATAACTTTCAACCTGAGAGCTGCTTCTTTTTCTTAGGCCTGCATGATGACATCCCTGAAAAGTGGAAGGTGAGCGCAAACACATCGCTCATGCAGCCTGTGCAACTGACTCTGCACTACATGCATTTATGATGTCATCTGTGTTTCTGTCTTTACTGCAGCATGAGCAGATGTCAGTTCTGATGTTCGATGACATTGTGAAGAGTCTGAAGGCTGAGAATGAAGACGTGTTGAAAGAACATGGACTGGATGATAAAGATGCCACCTTCATTAAAGAGTTAATCGAAGGAGCAAAAACTTCAGAGGTACAAACTGATACTCCAGCTGTGCTTAATTAAACTGAATTATCTTTAGTAAAAAAGTTGAACTAAAACAGACTTTTCTGTTCAGTGGACATACAAGGGCAGAGATGAAGACAAATCCTTCTTGTATGAGATTGTGGCAAATAAACAGAACGGCATTGATGTGGACAAATGGGACTATTTCGCACGGTAAATATTAGACATTTTTCACAGATGCAAGAGCTGTTGATGTCATGTGACTAATGTCTCTAGAGCTGCAGGTAAATGGCAATACTGATTGGCTGAATCACTAGTGATTATTCTGAGATGTGACGTCAGAGATGGCAGACAAATATAAGACCATTACACACTTTAAAGGGTTAGTTCACCCCAAAATGAAAATGAGGCTGTGTTTTACTCACCCCCGATGCATCCTAGGTGTATATGACTTTCTTCTTTCAGACAATAATGTTTTAAACAAACTAACACAGATATTTAAGTTGAAGTTACACACAGTAATACGTTGATGTAATTGTCAACATTAAGATGTCAGGACAACTAATTAAAATTTTTTTAAAACTTAAAATGTTTAATTAAATCAATAAATTAGAATTTTTAACTTGCACTAATGCATTAAATTAAGTAGTGTCAACAGATCCACTGAATTATTTTTTAGAGTGTGTGCAAAATAGACAGACATTTTCTATTCAGGTTTAAAGAGACATAAGACAGATCAAACTGCTGTAAAATATTTTCTATTTATTTTTAGGTCATGGTCCGTTTTCTCATGTATTTGATGGTCTGGTTATTCCTCAAGCCAAAAGAATAAAACAATTAAGAGGTAAGTGCCAGTGTGAGATGAAATCTAATAAGAAGGATCTGCGGACATGCATGTTTCCTCTCATATTGTTACATTTGGACACACAGAACTCAAGCTATTGTATATGTATGTCTTGTAAATGTGCCTGACAAAGTTTGGTAATGTATAAAATATAACTTTCAACCTGAGAGCTGCTTCTTTTTCTTAGGCCTGCATGATGACATCCCTGAAAAGTGGAAGGTGAGCGCAAACACATCGCTCATGCAGCCTGTGCAACTGACTCTGCACTACATGCATTTATGATGTCATCTGTGTTTCTGTCTTTACTGCAGCATGAGCAGATGTCAGTTCTGATGTTCGATGACATTGTGAAGAGTCTGAAGGCTGAGAATGAAGACGTGTTGAAAGAACATGGACTGGATGATAAAGATGCCACCTTCATTAAAGAGTTAATCGAAGGAGCAAAAACTTCAGAGGTACAAACTGATACTCCAGCTGTGCTTAATTAAACTGAATTATCTTTAGTAAAAAAGTTGAACTAAAACAGACTTTTCTGTTCAGTGGACATACAAGGGCAGAGATGAAGACAAATCCTTCTTGTATGAGATTGTGGCAAATAAACAGAACGGCATTGATGTGGACAAATGGGACTATTTCGCACGGTAAATATTAGACATTTTTCACAGATGCAAGAGCTGTTGATGTCATGTGACTAATGTCTCTAGAGCTGCAGGTAAATGGCAATACTGATTGGCTGAATCACTAGTGATTATTCTGAGATGTGACGTCACAGATGGCAGACAAATATAAGACCATTACACACTTTAATAAGAGCCTAAAAAAAACCTGAGAAAATATCTGCTATTGTGTAATAATATTAGTGATGTATATATTCACAGCTTTACTTTAACCATGTCTTTGTCTCGTCACAATAGCTCAAGGTGAAATAACCTTTTTTTATTTCATATTTAAAGTTTTTATGTAACCATTTGTTATTTTAAAGGCACCCATTGAATAACAAAAACAGAGCCAAGCTGGGATAAAGATGATCCTTTTATTTATGCATCCATTGTGTTTTCATATTTAATATTTATTTGACAGAGACTGTCATCATCTGGGCATCCGAAACAGTTTTGACCATCAGCGTCTGCTGAAGTTTGCTCGAGTCTGTGAAGTGAGCGGGAGAAAACACATCTGCTTCAGAGACAAGGTGCCTCATACAGTGATCACACATTATCATTACAAACCAAACACACACACTGCATGTATGGCATATACATCGGAAGCTCTATTAATATGTTTTTTAATTGATCTACTCTGTTTTTAACTCAGATGTCATGTCAGACATACTACAGTAGTTAATATGATTTTCAAAGGCAGACTTTAAATTAATGTATGTTTAAAGTAAGCAAATTATTTACATATTCTCGTGTTGTTCTAAACCTGCAATACCTAATTTCCTCTGAGGAATGCAAAATAAGTTATTTTAAAGGATGTGTCTATTGTTTCTGTCCATGCAATGAGTCAGTGGGCTCCAGAATAACCCTTGACCCCATTGACTTTCATTGTATAGACAAAAACACTGAGACATTTCTCAAAATACATTCTTTTGTGTTCAACTTTCCCTTCAAAATGTAGTGTTTTGTTTCTTGGGAAATATCTAAAAATGGCATTGCTTTACATGCTCTGGATCTCTGACACACTGATGTTTGTGTAACAGGAGGCTGATAATGTTTATGACATGTTTCGCACCCGATACACTCTCCATCGCCAGGCCTATCAGCACAAGATCTGCAACATCATCGAAGACATGTGAGTTTCTCTGTTTAGATTAGTGGTGATACCTGTGCTGCTGATCGTACAGTATTTAAAATCTTGCATCAGGATGTTAAACAAATTCAGCATTAAGCCACTGACTGCACTCCTCATACATGTTTGAAACACTAACTCAGATGTTTTTCTCTGTGTTAGGTTTGCGGAAGCGCTCGTACGAGCTGATCGTGATCTTCATGAAGGAAAACATGAAGATATGCTGAAGATTTCTGAAGCCATAAAAACAGCAGAGGACTACAGCAAACTCACAGGTCAGCAAAAACACAAAACAAAACACGCACGCACGCAAAAAAATAAATAAAATAGAATAAAAAAAAAATAAAAAAAAAAATATATATATATATATATATATATATATTCATATCATCATTCATTCATTCATTCATTCATTCATATATGTGTGTGTGTGTGTGTGTGTATGTATGTATGTATGCATGTATAAATATATGCCATATTATATCTCAAGATAAACATATTCTCTCTATTGACACTTGTGGTAATGTGGTAATGTGTCTCAGGACATACCATATTTGAAATAAAACATTTTTTTATTGATGATAATAATGAATCTTCTGTTCTTCTGTCAGATGAGATCTTTGAGCAGATCTTGTCCTCCACTGCTGACAATCTGAAGAAATCCAGAGACATCTTGAACAAGATCGTCAGAAGAAAACTGCCAAAGTTTGTTGGAGAAGCTCGACTGACTAAGAACAACATCTCAAAGGTTGGACAGAGGTCAAACACACACTGGTTTACAGTTTGATTAACCCTCTAAAACTGACAAGCCCTCTCAAATCTGAAATTTCAGGAAGAGCTGACAGAAACATGGAAGGCAGCATTAGAGAAGTACAAACCTACAGATCGGACTGTTTCTCTGAACGCTGAAGATTTACCAGTTTATGTAAGTTATATTCCAAACACTTCACATTTGTTTTCATATCTTCACAAACTAGCTATTTCATCTCTTCTTATTCAGGTGGTTGATCTGGATCATGGCATGAAGGACAAAAACCCAATTGAAAATGTATATTTCTACAGCAAGAGGAAACCCAACAAAGCTTTTCCCATTAAAGATTATCAGGTAATTGTGACACTTTAAGTTTTATTTCAGATCATTGTAGTATTTTTCCTAATGAGTGTGATCAACTATGTTTCCATCCACCTGTTTTTATGCACATTTTGGGAAATCATATAAAAAAAAAAATACTGGATGGAAACAGCAAGATAAATTCTAAAAATATGCATACAAAACACACATAAAAAAAAAAAAGTGCATAAAAATAAGAACACGTGCTTAAACTATCATGGAAACACATTTACAGATTAAATTCCCTGATTCCCCATCTGAAATGTTCTTTTGGTTCCCTTTGAGTCGGTCTCTCCGAGTCACGTCGGTGACCGACGAACTGGGATCTCGCTTTGAGAGACAAATCTACTTAGAGTGTAAACTAAACGAGCCAATGGACACTGGCATACGATGCTTGCATCCAGCTGCCGCTGATCACAGCGTGAGCATAAAAAGGCAGCCAATGCAACGCATACCAGCTTTTCGCTTCGGCGTGTGTGACGATGAATTCAACATGCTCTAGGGAGCTTTTTGTGTTGGCGGATGGTGCTTCAGCGGCGGTCGTTCCGGTGTCGAGTGGGTTGCGCACTTCAGGCTGCAAATGGCTGTTTCCCCTGTGCGTCTCAGCACATAAAAGAGCCAATTTCTTTAAAAGAATACAATAAGAGTGTGCGTCGGTGTAAAGACTACGGATCGTCTTTTTAAAGATGCTGTTTCACCCGTACGCTTCTGGATGCGCTCGTTACCTGGCGCCAGATGACGGTCACGATCACTGCCTCACGTGTCTGGGCATTAAACACGCTGAGGTGGCGTTCGTGGATGAGTCACGTTCCCACTGCGGGAAGATGATCATCTCGGAGCTGCGGGCCAGGTTCGGTTTTCTCCAGGCGGGCGGAGCTCCATTGCCTCTGCCGCGATCTAGTTTTCATCCTGGCAGTAGCCAGACAAGAAATACTTCGGGCAGTAGCACGGGGAGTCTGAGAGTTACAGTGGTGGCAAACCCCTCAGAGAACCAACCCTCGGGGGACCATCACTCCTCTAATGCTTCGCAACTAGTTGAGCTGCCAAAGGAACGGGCTGGGCCCTCTTCAAAGAGCGTACCACCATCACTTCGGCGTGAGCACCATCTACGAGACACGCTTATGCCTTAAAGTGGAACCTGTTCATCACCGAGAAGACCCCCAGAGATGCCCGATCAATGTTGTGCTTTCCTTTTTGCAGCAGGGGTTGGAGCGAAGGCTGTCTCCCTCCGCCCTTAAAGTCTTTGTCGCTGCGATTGCTGCTCACCATGACCCCATGGAGGAGAAGTCGGTAGGGAAGCATGACCTGGTCATTAGGTTCCTTAGGAGGGCGAGAATGTTAAATCCTCCCTGGCCCCCCTCCATACTCTCTTGGGACCTGTCTCTGCTGCTCAAAGCACTACAGCAGGGCCCATTTGAGCCTTTGCAGTCAGTTGAGCTGAAGTTTCTATCTATGAAAACTCTGCTCCTGCTTGCACTGGCCTCCATCAAGAGGGTAGGGGACCTGCACGATTCGTGCCTAGAGTTTGGGCCGGCCCAGGTAATCCTGAGTTCCCGGCCCGGCTATGTGCCCAAGGTTCCCACTACTCCCTTCATGGACAGGTGGTGAGCCTGCAAGCTCACCAGCCCTAGCTTTGCTTTGTCCCGTCTGAGCTTTGAGATGCTACGTAGACCGGACACAAAGCTTCAGGACCTCAGACCAGCTCTTTGTCTGTTACGGAGGCCGGCAGAAGGGGAGTGCCGTCTCTAAGCAGAGAATGGCCCACTGGATTGTGGATGCCATCACCCAGGCTTATCAGGCACAGGGTATGCCCTGCCTGCTCAGGTTGCGAGCTCACTCTATTAGAAGTGTTGCATCCTCCTGGGCGCTGGCTCGTGGCACCTCGCTGACAGATATTTGTAGAGCTGCGGGCTGGGTGACCCCCAACACGTTCGCTAGATTCTATAGCCTTCGTGTGGAGCCGGTATCCTCCTGTGTTCTCACCTCAAACAGGTAGAGGCACTGAGAGGCCCCAGTTTAGTGTTGGCTTGCTGCTGTATCAGCGCTGAGCGGCCGGGCCACCGGCTTGGCTCCTCAGCAATAACAGTGATGTTGCATTGGCTGCCTTTTTATGCTCGTGCTGTGATCAGTGGCAGCTGGATGCAATCATCGTATGCCAATGTCCATTGAATCGTTTAGTTTACACTCAAAGTAGATTGGTCTCGTGAAGCGAGATCCCAATTTGTCGGTCACCGACGTGACGTCTCCGTTCCCTCCTACATGGAACGAAGGTTACATGCATAACCGAGACGTTATTCTGAAATGCCTGAGCCAAAGTCTACTACTGAAGCAAATTACCTTTTTCGTTGTGATGTTAGGCACCAGTCTATAAGGAAGTGACAATGTTTTTCTTTAGGCTACATCTCGGTGGATACAGTGCTTTATTTGCGAATTGTTTTATGAAATATTCCAATTTTGTGATATTCACAATTTTGGATGGAAACATCAGTCTTTACCAATTAATAAAAAAAAATTATAATAATGGACAGAGGCTTTAACATTGTCTTCTCAGTGTTGGGCTCAGTGAAACTTATTTTGTTGAAGTATTATTAGAAAACTGATTGTGTGTCACTTGTCTTATTGTCAGTTGTCCAGTTTCCTGCCAAACAGGTTTAATGAAGAGCTGGTCAGAGTTTACTACAAACAAACTGATGATCAGGCAGCTGAAGATAAGGAGGAGGAGAAGAAGAAGGTGGAAGAGGCTGAGAAGTGCTTTCAGATCTGGTGTGCAGACAATTTTGGACTCAAATAGGCATCTGAATAATTGATATATGACTCTTCTCTGTGACTGTAACACAAAAACTATTTACTCAGAAAAAAAAGAAAATTAAGAGGTGCACACAGGTCACAAAAGCAGAGCAGCAAAATTAAAAACATCTGTATGATCAGTTAAAATCAGTTTTCAGGTAATGGTATTATGGAATAATGGAATAATTTAATCTGAATTAAAAACAAGTTTTGCAAACTCTGGTTGCCAGACACTTTCATGTTTTCTTGTGTTGACTTATGAGTTGAAAGTATGTGTAGGACTAATGAATGTGGAAGTAATAAAAAGGTTTATTTCATTTTGATTGCATATTTATTTGCAAAATGGAGTAGCAAGAAGTTTAGTTACAGAGAGTAAAGCTTGGGTTTACATATTTTATGGATGTAAATTTATATGGAATATGTTTTCTTATTTTCTTAAGTAGGCTGCCATGCGGATTCAATCATTCATTTGCGTCTGTAATGGAAATGAATGAGTGTGAATTATGACAAAAAATTTGATTTTCGGTTTGTTATTGAAATTGACATGTTTGTATCAGCATGTCTCTCACTTCAACAATAAAGTCTATCCCTTTTATAGGAAGCATACGCTGAAAAAAGTAAAGTAAAAGTAAAGCTCTAAAGAACATTTTATACTTGATCCAACTTAATAAATTTACTTTTCTGTCTTTTCATTGAGCTAAAGTAAAATATTACTTAATTAAAGCAAAACTAAGATTTGTTGGTGTAATTTAAACTATTTGCTTCAAACCTAATGACAATTTTGCGTTCTGTGAAAACCACATGACCACTGACATCATTGAAGTTCGGTTTGAGAATTGTTCCCAGCATGCTTTGCTTCATTGAAAAAAGTGATGATGTCATTTTATAGCTTGGAGAAGATGTGGACAAACTTATTAAGGAGTATGTGGCAAGTTTTTGTATTAATCATTTAACTTTAAAAAAAAGATTAAACATAATTTTGCACATTTACGCATGTGTCTGGTCTGACAAAAATACTCTGGCTTTTGTTTATTTGCTTAGCTCTATAATTATTGTGAAGCAGATGTGGGACTTTCAAGTCAAATCCCAAGTCCTCAAAGAGTTAAAGTTATTGAGATAATTAAGTGAGTAATTAAATGATGATTGTGCATTAGTGATGAACACCTGCTGTTATTGAGAATTACAGAGGATCAGATGTTGATGTTTTATTGGTTAAAATGATGGCACCATTATGGAGATCAGTGTTTGCTTTAGTTGGGCTCTTGAACCTTGATTTCTTGTCTTAGCTCTCTCTTTGTAGTAATACATGAGGTGTTGGTAAGCAGTGAGATCAGTACTTAGTCTTGATCAGCTGTTATCAAATGATGAGAAAATTATCAGTCTATTCAAATTCAAGTTAACTTTAGATTCATTTATTTTACAAGTTTAAATTTTGAATAAGCAATGTTGTTTAACTACAGCATGCAATTGAAGCGTTATGCTAATAGTTACATTGAATTCATAATACATTTAATTAAGTGAACACCAGTGTTATTAAGACACACACAGACATCAAGAACCAGCATATGAATCTCAACAATGGTGACAATCAACAAAATGCTTCATGCTGCAATGCATGCTGGGTAACACCATAGTAAAAACTCCCATCATGCACCACATGAATAAAGCAAAGAGACACTCCTTCACAACAGTCATTCAAGTGAATTATAAGCAGAACATGTAAGCTGCTTCCTTAAGCTTTTAAGTTGGCAATGTGCAAATGCACAAATGTTTGCTGTAAAGCAATATTGTAATTGCTTAAAAGCAAATCGCTTTGTATTATCAAAAGGGTCAAGAGCACAACTAAAGCAAACACTGATCTCCATGATGGTGACATCATTTTAACCAATAAAACATCAACATCTGATCCTCTGTAATTCTCAATAACAGCAGGTGTTCATCACTAATGCACAATCATCATTTAATTACTCACTTAATTAGCTCATTAACTTTAACTCTTTGAGGACTTGGGATTTGACTTGAGACTCGTTTGTGACTTGAAAGGAATGACTTGGTTCCTCCTCTGCTGAAATCAGCTGCTGAGTTCATGAGTGGAATAAACATATGGCAGGACTTTTACTTTCTGAC